CACGCTCACGCACAAATTCCTTTTGTTCCTCTTCTCTCTACTCAATTCTCAGGATTTTGGAAGCTGCCCGTTTTGCTGCCCAGCAGCGGGCCAAGCGCCTCACGACAGCCACTCTGAACCAAGTGGTCGGAGAGGCCGTTTCTTTTCAGCTGCTGCCCGGAGGCGGCAAGGGTAACAAGCGAGGGAAAATCTACTACAGCACACAAGCAGCAACTAACCCTCCAACCTTCGTGTTTTTCGTTAACGACGCGAAACTTTTCGGGCAGCAGTACCGACGATACATGGAAAATCAGCTTCGGGAGAACATTGACTTCGAGGGCACGCCGATCCGGCTGCTCTGGCGAAGCAAGCGCCGAACCAGACCAGTAGGTTCGGAAGGAGAAGGGACGGGAGAGGCAGGGACAGGAGGAAGATCGGGAGGAGAGCGGGGCAAAGGAGTGGAGAGTGGTGGAGAGAAGGGACGAGGAAGAGGGGGGAGAGGCGGAAGAGGAGGGAGAGGTGGGAGAGGAGGGAGAGGGAGTGGAAGTAAGAGTGGGAGGGCCACATCTGGTTGAAGGAATGAGGAAAGTGTGAAGCTGAACAGATATTCTGGTAGGCAGGAATAGTAGGAAAGGGATAAGGACAAGGTCAATGCGTATGCCACTGTACTGTAGATGTGATCTTTTGTACATTTCAGGCTGGTAATGCTGCTACATGTGCATATCAACCACCATGATACACCGCACTGGATACAAATGACAGCATACAGAATCGACAAATCTCCACTTAATTGGCACAAGCGCGAAACTTGAGATAACGCAGAGAATTAAGGATTTGAAGCTCGACTGGTGGAAACACAACCACAGGTGTAGCAGATAGCAGGTAGCGGGTAGCAGGCTGAGGTTGCAGTCAGAGCAACCACGGGTTGGGAATCTGGTTGACAGTAACAGTCAACCATTGACCGCGGTTGACTGTTGACTGTGGTTGACTGTTCCTGGCCTTATTTGAGCCCTTCTACTGGTCGGGGCTGTTAAAATTATATATTGTGTTATATAATTGTTAGGCTTGGTAGGTTACTGAACTTTACTGTAGAGGGTACAACACCCCTCCTTGTATCCCTCTCTCTTCTATTCCCAAACTCTTTTTCTCTCCTCAATTTTCCTAGCACCTAAAACCTCTCGCCATTCTCATGGCTCCTCCTAGCTCCTAGCTAAACCTTGTGCCATTCTATGGCTTCCTAGCTAAGCTAGTCTTTTGACATGGTATTAGAGCAGTTCGTTCCTTGTGGGCCTGCTCCTCGAGTTTCCGCTGCGTGCTCGTTCCTCTCTCTATCTCGCGCTGCCATGGCGGCCGCGTCAAGCTGCTGTGGCCGTGTCGTCGTGCCGCGGCATCGCCGTCGACGTTCATGGCGCCCGCGTCCAGCTGCTATGGCCGCGCCGTCGTACCGCAGCTCCGCCGTCGCGTCAAGCTGCTGTTGCGACGTGACGGCGCCGTCACGCTGCCGCGGCGTCTACGCGACAGCGCGCGGTCGGCGTGACGGCGACGTCGTGCTGCCGTCGCAGCGTCGACGTCCCGCTGCGGCATCGACGCCGCTCCATGACGGCGTCGTCGGGCTGCAGCCGGCCACGCGACGCCTGTGGTGCCGCTAGACCGGCCGCCCGCATGTCAGCCTGTGGCGTCCCCCCCCCCCCCACCCCCCCTCCTTCCCCTGTGTCCTCTTCCTTTCCACAGACGACGGCTGACTCCCGCCGGCCGTCCCACCGTCGCGGGGCCTGGCCACGTCACCGAGAGGTGCGGGTGCCGCCGCCGCCGCCGCTGATGTCGAAGCCACCGCCACCGCCGCTGTCGCCGCTTGCGTCGGGGCCACGCAGCCGCACGCCGCCGCCGCCGCCGCTGTCGACACTGCCGCCGTTGCCGCCGTCGCCACCGCAGCCCCTGCGGTCGACGTCGCCGCCTCACGCGCCGTGGGGTCGACCGACCTAGTGTCGCTGTCACTGTGGCTGGAATGGGGGTGCTAGGTTAGGGGGTGTGGGTGTGTGTGGGCATGTGACTACCAAGCCTAGGGGGTGTGTTAAAATTATATATTGTGTTATATAATTGTTAGGCTTGGTAGGTTACTGAACTTTACTGTAGAGGGTACAACACCCCTCCTTGTATCCCTCTCTCTTCTATTCCCAAACTCTTTTTCTCTCCTCAATTTTCCTAGCACCTAAAACCTCTCGCCATTCTCATGGCTCCTCCTAGCTCCTAGCTAAACCTTGTGCCATTCTATGGCTTCCTAGCTAAGCTAGTCTTTTGACAGGGGCATCCGTGTTAAGACTAGAAAGAATGATTAGAAGAAAGGAGAACATGGGAGATATAGCATTTGGGTTGTACCCACTAAGAACATACCCTATCTAGCCTATAACTTCTACATATTATAATTTTTTAACACACGCAGTGTTTTTCAAAAATTGTCTATTGTGAAAGCAAAGCTGATTGTACTGAAGCATTGGGCATCGTCGAAGCGCGCTACTCGCCCTTCTCCAACTACGCGCACCCACTTGAAATGAGAACGATGCCATTGCCAAGGACAAGAAAGCAAGCTTTCTCAATAACAATATATGTATAAGTTGACACACCCCCTAGGCTAGATAAGGGGTAGTGCAGAGCAAGAAACATGCAGCTCAGGGTGGCACTACTAGTCCAACCTCTGAGGCAGGGGCCCGAAGACCCGTCAGCAAGAGTACTGAAATAAATCGTCTGATGTTGTAGTAGACTAAGTATAAAACTATAAACAAGAACACTTGGCAAATCCTCAAGTGTTGGTCCAGGATCTTTGCTGGAATGGTAGACTAGTAAGACAGCGGAAGTCTTGTAACATGTAAAGGTCAAGGTTGAATAACCTGAGTACGTGAACTTGTGAGTAATCAAAGTTAATAATGAAAAAGACCTAATAGAGATTTATAGTTCTACGAAAAGTACCTATTCGCTAATGTACCTGTTCGTCACTATCGCGCTATGCGCCCTAGATGATAATGAAGGGGTGCGACTGTTCGCGTGACTGAAACGACTGTCCTATGACGAGCGCTATTTGCTGACGTCATCCTACGGACTTATCTTCTACAGTATGATTCGACACTAACTACACATAATCGACTTACAGAAATGCTAAGTATCAAATATATCACAACACTCCCCTTCATTTCTGGAAGTTCGATAGTGTCACTTCTTGAAGATTCCGCAGAGCTTGTTACAGTACTGAAACTTCTGTCGTGTCAGCTTCTTCGTAAGAAAATCGGCAGCCATTTCGTTGGTCGAACAGTAGACCAATCGCATCCTCCCCTTCTCGACTTCATCTTTGACGAAAAAATAACGAAGCGAAATATGTTTCGTTCTGTTGACGAAACCAGGCTGATGTGCGATGCGAATCGCACTTTGATTGTCGCACTGTAGGGTAAACTGGGTAGTTGTCGTCAACTTCGCTTCTTCCAATAGTTCCTGTAAGTAAAGTCCTTCGTGTGTTGCTGTGCAGACAGCAATAAACTCAGCTTCAGTAGAGGAGAGTGCAATCAGCTTCTGCTTCGTAGAATTCCAAGAGATAGGTCCGATAGGCTCCAGTCGATAGATGAACCCAGTGCGTGACCGTCGATTAGTAGAATCAGCAGCGTGATCGGCGTCGACAAAACCGTGTAGATAGAATGTTTTACAACCAATGACGTTGTAGACTAATCCGACGTCAGGTGTCGAGATAAAATACTGAAGCGTGCGGAGAAGATCAAGCTGATGCTCCTCCTCAGGACGGCGTAGGAACTGTGCGAGCTGACTGGCCGCATAGGCTAGATCAGGACGACAAGTGACAGCGGCGAAAAGTAGACAGCCTAGCTGCTGTTGATAGATCTGTAAACCGGTTGAAGTTAACGGTGCGGTGTTCGGTTTGTAGTCAGTCGGTAGTGAGCGGTACGGTGTAGAGACTGCAGTAGGTGTGAGGTTGAAGCGGGCAGCGAGTGTTGCTGCATACTTCGAAGCGGTGAGATGAATAGTTGTCGGTGAACAGGTAATGTTCAGTCCAAGAAACTGTGTGACTGTTTCGGAGACGGTAAGCTGTAGATTTTCCTGTAATTTCAGTATGAAGGTCTCGGCAAGGGAATCGGTAGTACTGATGTATAGGATGTCATCGACGTAGGCGACGAGTAAAATATACTTCCTGCCGTCGGTCAGTAGATACATCCCCTGATCATGCGGTAACTGTCGAAATCCAGCAATGATCAGCTGCGAGTGAAGATACAGGATGAGTGCGTCGACAGGCGCGTAGAGAAACGCATTCGAGACGTCGATTTGGCGAAGACGTAGATTACGACAGGCGGCGACACAAAGAAGAACTCGAACGCTCGTATGTCGCCCGACAGGGGCGAAGGTTAGTTCATAGTCGATGCCGTAAGTCTGCTCGAATCCGCGGACGACCCATCGCGCTTTGAACATTTCAAACGACCCGTCTGAATTTGTCTTGACGCGGAAAACCCATTTTCCGGTAAGTACCTTCTTCCCTTTTACTTCTGAAGTCGGTATTAAATCCCATGTTCCGCGATTCTTGAGAGCTGCTAGCTCTCTGTCCATGGCTTCGCGCCATTTCTCTCGGTGAGGACTCGTAAGAGCTTGTCGAACGGTTTTCGGTTCAGGTATCTTACTGTCGTTGCACTGTACTGCTACTGCAAATCCCAGTATCTGCAATCCTGTTTCTGTAAAACGCAGACGTTCTTCGTTTGCACCTGCGAAATTTTCTTCTGCTCCTTCTTCCCCCCCAATTTCGTCAGGTGTAACACGAACTGCTTCGTCAGAGACGGCGGGCATCGGCTGCTGTTGGCGATCGCGTTCGTAACTGAGACGAACTTCGCAAACATCATCCGTGTCAGCATCTGCAAGTGGAATAAACTCTGGTATGCCAGTCGAGGTTACAGGTTCGGGAATGTCAGTTGCAGCAGCTTCGGATGCTTCAGAAACTGTTTCGTCCTGTACATCAGCTTCGGCTTCGTCAGTTGCAAACGCACGCGAGCCTTCGAACAGCCTGGCAGGATTGGCGGCTGCTGCCTGGTGGGCACGAAAAACGGGCAAGGTGAGTCTTTCATAGAAAAGACAATCACGTGATGGAACGATTTGATGGGAGCGAAGGTCCAAAATCTTCCACGCGTGATACGGTTTTTCGATGCCGAGGTGTACCCCCCATTTTGCTCGTTCAGAAAATTTTCCGAGTGCTGCGGTTGGAGGACGAAACTGTACAACACACCCGAAAACTCGTAAAAGTTTTGTGTTTCCCAATGTACGTGTCCACTGCAGATGCGGAGAAGAAAACTCGGGCAGGGACGTTGAAGAAAGAAGATTGTGTACCAGCACGGCGTGGTCCATCGCATATGGCCAAAAATGCGGTGGAAGTGCTGCGTGCGTCAGCAGAGCACGCATCTTCTCCTGCAGTGTTCTGTTCATCCTTTCTGCTACCCCCATCTATTGATGTGCATGCGGCAGGAACTGCTTCCGTTTGATGCCGAGTGTCTGAAGGTAGTCTGTGAAAGTGTTGCTGGTGTATTCCCCTGCACCATCACTCTGAAATTCTTGCAGTTTCGCGCCAGACTCACGTTCAGCGACAGCGAGCCATGCAACGAAGACGGAGTGAGCAAGATGGCGCGCAGGTAAGTTAGCTGTCCAGACATATCGTGTAGACGCTTCGATGAATGTTATCACATACTTCTCGTCTTTAGGGCCTGCTTCAGACAAGTTGAGTATGTCGCTGTAGACTTTCTGCATCAGTTGATAACGCGTTGAGCCGGGAAAATGACTTGGAAACGGATCGTGCGTAAGGTTGGCAACTGGACAAGTGGTGCAAACCGTCGGACGAGACTGCGGCTTCATCTCCGTGCCATCAGGTAAAAGTAAACTATTTTTATCAAGAACTGCTGCTCGGATTGAATGATTGAGAATCCCTTGTGATGGATGTCCTAGTCGCTGATGCCGTATATCTTCCGTCGCTTTGTGTCCTGATGATCGCAGGTAAAATTCAGAGTTAGTATAAAAGGAAGAAAGGATGAAAGGAGAAAGAGCTGGTGACTTGTCAATCTCTCCTTCGACGAAACGGGTAAGAGGTAACGTGACTTGTGTGATTGCTGCTGCAGGTGCGAGTAAATCCCCTGATACTGCTTCTGTTGATGTCGTGGCAGGTGTTTCGGCGACAGCTACGGTTGGACTCGGCTGCTCAGCTACGGCTTCCTGTTCGGCTTCTTCAACAACGTCAGGTTCATCAGCGGCAAGACCACTGATTTCTCCCCAAAGTGGTGCTGGTGTTCCTTGGAAGGCTGCACGGGTATTATAAAACGTTCGCCACGCGGTGGCGCTTTCATCGGCGGTATTGAACTCCCAGGTATCCAACGTGGTAAGTACTGCGGCTACTGTTCGAGAAGCTGTTGGTACTGAAGTTGCCCGAAAATCAATGTCCACATGTTGATAATCTGTTTCTTCTGGGTGATCCCAGGGACCAAGTGCAAGCACGTGTTCAGAATCTCCAGAAGTTCCCTGTGCTGCGAACTGAAGAACTGACACGCCATGTTGAGTGGCGGCACGACCAAGGTAGGTATTAGTTGTACTGTGCCAGAGCTCTTGATCCATCGTCTCACAATTTCCTTGTGTACGGATTTTGTGTGCCAGGAGCTGAGCCGTGGAAAGAAGGTTGAAGCCAAGTCCGGCAACGATAAGAACATTCGTAACATGAAGTGAGTATCCCGTGTCGATAGATTCGAGCATGACACTGCCAACTGATCGTGCCATTATTGTTTGTCCATTTGCGACTGTGACAGGTATCGGACGACGAAGTGGACGCTGATTTGTGATAAAGCTTGTTTCGACAGAACACATATGCCATCCGCAGCAGCTGTCGAGATACCAGGTATTTGGTCCTGAAATTATGCGAGCAAGGTTAGCGTAAACTTGAGGTAAAGGAATGCCTTCAGCACTTGTTGTTTCTTCAAGTCGTGTTTCGAAATCTGTTTCTGAAACATTAACTGTGGTGACGCAGCCAAAAACCCCTTTTCCTGATGTGGCAGATGCGAAGACCGGCGGACGATGCTGCGACGTAGATGGATTTGGTGGCGGTTTCGGTATCTGCTGCTGCTGAGACGTTAACTGCTGCTGTGGCAGTTGTGTCTTCGGTAACTGCTACGATCGTTGATACGGCTGCGAAGTATTGCGACGATTTTGATGACGGCTGCGACAGTTTTGGTAAGTATGTCCTGATTTTTTACAGAAATGGCAGAACGGGTACTTTGGTGGATGTCGATGTTGTGTTTCTGGATTGGAGTAAAAACTTAAATGAACTCCCCTTTTCTGGTTGCGTTGTGACTGCAGGTCAAGATCTTGCTGCTCTGCTTGAAGATAAGAAGAAATTTTAGCTTCGGAGAGGTTGGGATTCATGCGCAGGAAGGCGCGCGTCTGTCGCCATTCGGGTCCAAGGCCAGCCAAAAGGACTGTGAGATACATCTCACGAGGGAAGTATCCTCCGCTTTTCTCCAGTTGGTCACGTAATGTACGGACGCGATTAACGTAGTCCATGACGTTTTCATTTGTCATCATCTGCACACTTGTCAGCTGCGAAAGTATTTTACTCACTGTTATCGTATCTTTTGCCATGTATACCCCTTTCAGATGGTTCCATGCAGTTTCGGCTGGTGTAAAACTTGAGTGAAATGATCGAACGCCGAGCTGCTCCTTCGGCGACAAGTTCCGTACAAGAACTGTATACGCCCCGAGAGAGGCATGTAAGAAACTCTGCTGCTCCAGTTGTGTTCTCGTAATAGGATAGGTGAAATCTCCGGTGAAGAACGGCCAAAGCCCAGCGGACTGCGCCAGAAGCTCAAACTCGAAGCTCCAGGAGTAGAAGTCGACACCATTAAAAAGTATGGTCGTCTTGATTTGAGTATTGTTAAGTAAATTTGGAGGCTGAAAAAGGACACTTGGCTGTTGCTGCTATTGCTGTTGCTGTTGCTGTTGTTGTTGCTGTTGCTGTTGCTGTACTTGCTGTGGTTGCTGAGACTGCTGTTGTTGTTGCTGAGCAGGGGAACGACCGAAGATATAAAAAGGATGCTGAAACTGCTGCGACTGTGGCTGCTGTACGAAAGGTGAGAAAGCAAACGAACCAGTACTTGGAGCTGTAGCTCCACGCATGTAACCTGAGCCGTCAAGGCTCATTCCACTGAACGCAGATGAAATTGATTGCGTTGAAACTGGTGGCTGTGCTGACGCTTGTTGCTGTGTTGTCGTCTGTGATTGTTGCTGTTGCGTTGCAGGTGCAGTCGATGGAGCATCTGGAGTATTCACAGAAGGCGGATTCTGCTGTTGCGTACCGATATTAGCGTAGGCTGGTGGAAAATGCCCAGAGGCTGAGAGACCAGCGGCCGTAGTGGAGGCATATGCTCCAGTAGTCCCAGTAACTGATCCGGCAGATGGTGCTGGTGATGAACCAGTCATAGTTGACGGTAGTCTTAATTCCAGATAGCTCTCATACCATGAAATAAATCGTCTGATGTTGTAGTAGACTAAGTATAAAACTATAAACAAGAACACTTGGCAAATCCTCGAAGTGTTGGTCCAGGATCTTTGCTGGAATGGTAGACTAGTAAGATAGCGGAAGTCTTGTAAAATGTAAAGGTCAAGGTTGAATAACCTGAGTACGTGAACTTGTGAGTAATCAAAGTTAATAATGAAAAAGACCTAACACAGATTTATAGTTCTACGAAAAGTACCTATTCGCTAATGTACCTGTTCGTCACTATCGCGCTATGCGCCCTAGATGATAATGAAGGGGTGCGACTGTTCGCGTGACTGAAACGACTGTCCTATGACGAGCGCTATTTGCTGACGTCATCCTACGGACTTATCTTCTACAGTATGATTCGACACTAACTACACATAATCGACTTACAGAAATGCTAAGTATCAATTATATCACAACAAGTACAAGCAAGACAGAGCAAACCAGGGCGGCACTACTAGTCCAACCACTGGAGGAAAAGCCACAAGGCCAGTCTGCAAGGTATAAACAGAAAGGAGTACACAATCAAGGGTCTAGCAAGTGAGAGTCAACAGGGACTAGACCTAACTGCAAGCAGTGCCGCTGATGATCTCTAGGCGGAAGCCCCTTAGTAAAGATATCAGCTGTGTTGGCACTAGAGGCCAAGTGTACTACGCGGGCCTGGCGACGCTGCTGAAGCTCGCGCAGAAGGAAGTACCGCAGTTGGATGTGCTTCGCTCTGCCCTCAAGTCGAGGCAGAGCTAGGCCGGTCACCTAAGTCGGCATACAAGAAGGTCAGCCAGCGGAGCTCCTGTGCCGCCATGGCACCGGCATAGATCTCAGCCTCGCACCTAGACTGAGCAACAGATGAGGAGCGAGTGGACCTCCACGAGATGGCACAAGAACTAAGGCTAAAGCAGTAGCCCTGGGAGGACCAGAGGGTCTCAGTGTCGTCTGCCCAAGAAGCGTCTGTGTGCCCTGTAAGGACCACGGGCCTGCGTCCTCCCAGCACTAGCCCCATGCCCGATGTACTTGCTAGATAACACAAAACCTTCTTAGCGGCTGACCAGTGCTGTGGTTGGTGTCTGCCTGTGGCCACAAAGCTGGCCAGGATGCTGAGAGGGTATGCGAGATTAGGGCGAGTGCAAGTCATCAGGTACATGAGGCAACCCACCAGCTTTGCGTAAGGACCACTGGGCTCTGCTGACTCCTCGGGAACTGGAGCTGAGAGCCTGTGGTCTAACGGCAGAGGTGTGGGCTGTGCGGAGGAGAACTGAAGACTGAACCTCTGAAGGACGTGGCGCACCAAGTGTGACTGTGTAAGAGTGATGGTGCGCGCTGCTCTGTCCCTGGAGATCTGCAGGCCAAGGTAGCGGCGCAGCTCTCCTAGGTCAGTGCAGGTGTGTTGCCTCAGCAGCTCAGCCTTCATGGAGGCCAGCGCGTCTCTGTCTGCTGTAGCCAAGACCAGGTCGTCTACGTAGACCAGGATGTAGAACGGAGTCTGGCCAGCATGAACGAAGAGCGAAGGGTCAGCAGAGGACGGAAAGAACTGCAGGTCAGCTAGTGTGGCACGCAGCGTGTTGTGCCACTCACGGGGCGCCGGAGGAGCCACTGGGTCCCAAGAGGGAAAGTACCGGTGAAGCCCTGAGGGCGGCGCAGGTAGACCTGCTTGTGTAGGCTGCCCTGAAGGAAAGCACTGGAGAAGTCGAGGGAGTGAAGCTCGTAGTCATGCTATGCTGCTACGTGTAGCAGCGCCCGAAAAGTAGTCATCTTCGGGGTTGGGGCGAAGGTCTGAAAGAAGTCCACCCCCTCTCGCTGACTGAAGCCTCTAGCCACGTAGCGCGCCTTGAACATAGGCGACTCTCCAGGGGGGCGCTTCACCTTGAAGAGCCACCGGCCATCGACTACGTTCACCCCATGGCAACTATCCACTGTGAGGCCCAGGGTCCCGAGGTTGCCTCAGCGTAGGTGCGAGGGGTCGGGATGTCAAAGGCGTCGGGGTCACCCTCAGGGACTAGCAGTATGGAACAAACATGGGGAGCAGCCTCTGACAGGTAAGCAAGCTCGTACTGCCGGTCCTCCAAGACGTCACTCCCGAGGACAGGAGCACCCCCGACGGACTGAGGACAGACAGGGTCAGAGACCAGAGCGGTAGCGAAGTCGAGGCGGCGACTAGAGGCAAAGTCAGCAAGAACAGCTACAAGAGCGTCAAGACTGGAGACAGGAACAGACGGGTCGGTAACGAGAGAGGTAAGGACCCGAGGAACAAGAGGACGAGCAGCACGAAGGTAGTCATACAGAGGGGGAGGCGCGACAGTGAGCGACGACGGAGGAGGAGAAGGCAAACAGGGAGGACGAGACGCGTGGGAAAGAAGCAACATAGGGTGAGAACGCTGAACAGGAGAGACAGCACGAGCACGAGAGGGACGGCGAGACCAGACGTGAGACGGAGGCATCGGGTCAGGAGAAAGAGTAGGAGTAACAGGAGGGGAACGAGAGGGGAAACGAGCCGGGGATGAGTCCGGCGGAGGAAACACAGGACCGTGAACAGGAAGAGGGGGAGACGGTGAGGGAGGCGCAGGCGAGCAGTCAGGGGAGGGAAGGCCGAGCAGGCGAAGGGCGGACACCGGCGGCGGCTGCTGCTGCTGCTGCTGCTCAACGCCGACACCTGGACCACCAACTGCACCACTGCTACCTCCGGTACACTCCACGCCAGCACCCCAAGAACGAGAAACGCCGCCAGTGCCGGTGCCACCCCCTAGCCCGCCGGGACAAGCCACGACAGGAGCCCCAGGACTAGCACCCTCTCCAACTCCAGCACCCCCTGAGTCCACGAACGGTTGCGGCTGCGACGACGGCTGCAGCTGCGGGGCCGGTGACGGTGGCGGACGCGGCGCCGGCTGCGGCTGCGGCGGCGGCTGGGAGGAGGGAGGTGGAGACACCGGGGGAGGGACAGGTGGTGCAGAGTCATTGGAGTCAACCGACTCCTCGACCGGGACAACCGACGGGAGGGGAGTGACGTGAGACACACCAGACGGAGCAGGACCGGGGGGAAGGGGAGCAGGGGTGACTGGGGGAGTGGGAACCAGAAACAAGGGTGGGGAAGCTGGGAGACATCGGTGAGGAAAGCGATTGAAAAAGGAGGCATACTCATCGAAAGTGAAGTCACGGGAGTGAAGGAAGCGGTGAGACGGTGGGTGGTAGAAGTGCTAGTCAGACGAGTCAAGGGGGAAACCGAGGAAGACACAGGGGAGGGTGCGGGCAGTGAGCTTGTCCGCATTAGAGGCAGGAACGTGAGCAAGGCAGCCCTTGACGTGGAACGCAGACGCGTCACCAGGGAACCCGGTCCAAAGGAGGGACGGCAAAACGTGTGGCCGCTGAGAGAGAGGTCAGAGGTTAAGCTGGTGAGTGGCGTAGAGAACGGCGAACGGCCATAGAGAATGGGATGCACCAGCATGGATCATGGAGGTACGAGCCACCTCCATGACCAAACCGATGCGTCGCTCAGCGACCCTATTCTGCTGCGGGGATTCCGGTAGGGTGTACATCTGGGTGATACCCTCCGCACGACAGAACTGACCCAGCCGACCAGAGGCGAACTCGCCGCCACGGTCGGACTGGAGACACAGCACAGGGAGACCGCGGTGGAGGCGCGCAGCGACGAGCCACGGGATAAGAACGTTAGGCAGGTCGGCCTTCCGCTCCAGGGGAAACACCGTGGTGTAGCGCGTGAAGTCGTCAACGTGCACAAGAAAGTAGCGCTCGTGACGCGGCACAGGGAGAGGGGCTGGGCCCCAGACGTCCAAGTGCAGGGTCTGAAGGGGTGTAGTGGCAGGGCGAAGTGAGGAGGAGTGAGGAGCACGGCGCAGTCGACCCTCAACGCAGGGCATGCACAGCGGCGCAGGCGAGGGAGGGAGAGCAGGGAGCGACGTAGGGAGGCCAAGGACTAGACCGTGCTGAGACATGTGACGCAGGCGGGGGAGCGCGGGGTGACCTAGACGATGGTGCCACAATAGGAACGGGTGAGTGAGCGACTGACACGAGCAGGCCGCAGCTACCTGGGTGGACGCAGGATCGAAGGAGGACTATCCCGCCGGGGGGGAGCAGTGTCCAGCGTAAACTGGACAGACACACGGTCCAGGGGGAACGTCGCAAGGGGGGCAACCTGAGGCGGCCTCGGAACAGACCGCGTACCGCTCATGACCAGGGAACGTAGTGGTGACGCCGAGGTTCTGAAGACAGCAGACACCAACTAAGTTCCTGGAGAATGTGGGGATGTGCAGGTCTGTAAGGGAACCCGAGGGAACCGCCGGACAGGGAAGGGTAGTGTAGCTATGAGCAACTACAGGACCAGATGAGGGGTCCGCAAGGGCGACAGCGGCAGGCGCAGCAAGCGGCGAGAGGGCGGCGTGGTCGCGGAAGAAACAAGCTGACGCACCGGAGTCTAGAGTGAAGGACAGCGACGCCGTAGTGGCCGACGACGGAGGAGCAAGGGTAGAGCCTAGGCTAGACAAAGCAAGCTGTCCTACGCCTAATGCAGCAGGGGAGTCTGGACTACACACAGGTGCTACGCCTAAGCTAGAGAACACAGAGTAATACGATCCGGAAACACTCGAAGCGTCAGCATACGGAGAATGCAAGGAAGAACTAATCTGATCCATGTCTAAGTCAAATACAGGCACACCGTGGCGCAGCAGGCTGGGCCAGTCAGGGTTGTCCGGGGCGGGGCCAAAGCGGCGACGGACGAGGTCGTCGAGGCGGCGGAGACAGCAGGCGGTGGGGTGCGGGCAGCGGCACACCGTGCCACGCAGGGGCCCGGTCTAAAGCTGGTACTAACAGCTCACAGCATCGAAGTTGCCGGTGGACGCTGAGCTGCGAGGGCCACCACCACTGTGAGAGAACAACCCCGTTACACCAATTTCCCCTTTCCATATTTCCTTTCCATTTCGTTCCTCTTTCTATCTTGATCCATTTGGTTTTTATCTTATTCCATTTGGATTCCTATTTCTCCTTTTCCATAAACCTTTGGTTTATCCTGTTATTATCATTA